AGGCAGGCAGAGGAGTGGATTATTTTAAGTGCTGTTTACAAACCTATAGTGTATTAGGTTCTGGAAGAGAAATCCTGCTAGATTTCTGAGGAGGAGGACAGGGAGAAACATTACAAGTTCACCTGAGATGCAATCTGCCTCAGTGTGCAAGTAGGCAACACAGAAACTCAACTAAATGTGAAACTCCAGTTAAATGGTCAAATGGCTTGCTCTAGACTCGTGCAGCTAAGTTTTGCTCTGGTTCTCTGTCTGGGCTCAATTCCATGTTGCAGTGCAGAAGAGAGCTGGGAGATGCTACTGAAAGGAAAACTTTTATCAAAGTCCTTAGAGCAATGGGGAATAAAGAGAGGGCAATAAGGAGGGAGATATTTCAAATAGACAGCACTGGTTAGGAGTGATGATTTAAAAAAAAAAAAAAAAGAGGAAAAGAAAAGAAAAACCATCTATAACTTGGTTTGAATCAGGGAGAGGTTTCATCTTTCCTTTTGACAAGGAAGATCAGGGTAGCAGCTTTCTGGTGCAGCTCAGAAACAAAATAATGCTTTTGCCTGTCTCCCTGGGCACCGAATGCTTGGCACATGTCTCTGAGCAGAGCTGTCGCCATATACCTGGTCTCACAGGTGCCAGAGAGGTCCCATAGTCACTATTGCAGGACAAGATAAAACAAGCAAATGAATAACTCGCCACAGTGAGCTCTCTGCAATTAGCACCCATCTGGAGCCATGGGTGGCCAAAAAATTGATGTTCTGCTGCTCTCTGGCCTGCAGCATTCAGCCCCTACACCCCGTGGGCAGGTAATTGGACTCCAACGCCTTTTCTTTGAACTGTTTGCTGTAGTGCTGGAGGATTTTGTTAGATGTTTTATCTTTTATGTATCATTCACATCATTTTGGCGGTTTTCCCAACATAGCAGTGATATTTTTTTGAACTTGTTTCTGATTTTTCTTATTTTTTTAAAAAAGAGAATGCTCCCTGCTGGACCTGAATTAGGAACAGCTCTTCCTTTAAGGTACTTAGAGACGAATTTTAAGGGGTAGAACAGAAGTAGAGGAGGGAGTTACACCTGACTTCACAAGACAAAGAGCAGTGTTGTAATATTCCTGTTTTGAGCATTGCAGAAGCCCGTTTAAGCCATTGATCTGTGTTTGGGAAGGAAGACCATTTATTCAGCAGAGAGACATAGTAGGTAGAAAGGAAAAGATAGAAGAATTGTTCCCATCTCTTTGTGAAAAAACAAAGCTAGTCCTGCGAGGAGGAAGGGAAAGAAATCAGGGAAACTCTTGCTGTCTGCAAGCAAAGAAACCAAAAAGGTAACCCCTTTTCAATAAACTCTTTCACTGAGAGGTGTACGGACAGCTTCATCCTCCTTGGGGAAACATCTCCATGGGACGAAGCCATGGCTGCTCTCAGCAGCAGTTTTACAGCACTGGAAACTCATGGGGTATCTCGGTCCCACAGATGATTCAGACTGCTGAGTACTGAGATGCTTTCATTTCAGGAAGTGCTATGAAATTAGGCTTTTCATTGCGACATTGAAATACTCGGGGAAAATCTATTAAGGCAGACCTAATTCAGCTGTGGGACTGGGTCAGCAGGCAGCACAGCGAGGAGAGCAGGAGACTCTAATTTACACAAACTATCTACCATGAGCAAACACACCAGGGGTGACATTTAAATGGTCTCTTTACTCTAGCTGTGTTACTGAAACCAACAGCATAAAAAAAAGCAATTTGTGGATGATACTAAACTAGGGGGAGAGTCTGATGTGACAAGTGACAGAGTGGCTGCCTAGGGGAGCTGGATTAATTTGAAGGCAGCCTAATTGAAACCCCATGAGGTTTGGCAAGGGGAAGCTCAAAGCTCTGTGCTTGGGATGGAGAAACCAGCCGAGAGCTGACTGTCCCAAACCAGCCCCAGTGGAGAGGACCTGGGGTTAATGAGAGACACTGGGTAAATTACAATCCAGAAATCCAGATCAGCCAAGCAAGGGATGCTGTTATCCCCTGGGGCTGGTGCTGCTGAAGCTGCATCTGGAGGATGGTGCCTACAGCTGGAGAGGGACACGGAGGGGATCCAGCAAAGAGCACATCCTGGGAGGCTCAGGCTGTGTGTTAAGGAGAGCTTTGCTCACCAGGCAGGTGGTGCAGTCCTGGGAGAGGTACCCAGAGAAGCAGGGCAGTCTGTCTGGGAAGGTTTCAAGGCTCAGCTAGATGAAAGCATGCCCGAGGGGATCTGTGTTACTGATGGTCCTCTTTTGGGCATGAAATTGGGCTGAGACCTCCAGAGATCTCTTCCAGCTAACTTTTCTGTGACACTGTAAAGAAACTGGAAGAGTGATCTGTAAGTTTTATCCCGTGAGTGACACTATAAAGTGCTGTGCTAATAAATTTTTATATTTAAGCAGCATTGCCAAGGCCCAGGGATTTTGCATGAATTAATGTTTGGCTGGGAGATTTGATGGCTTGAAGCAAGACTGCAGGGCATTAAGACAGTTGGTCACCAGTTTCCCTGGAAGTGCCCAAGAGTGAAGTAGTTACTGCAGTTGGAAGAATATGTTTTAAAAGGTACTAAGTTGTGGAGTTTGTTGTCATATTTTATTTTCTTTGCTGTGAAATAACTTCTGAGGAAATGGATGCATCAAAATGAAGTATCAAAATGATTTTGCAAAAGGTGGCAGGGAGCCAAGCAGGGAAGTGGAAATGCCTCAAATGGTTAATGCCAGTGATGGAAGAAAGTGATTTGACAAGGATTATAGGAGATTTCTGCATGCTCGCTGCAAGAGGTCATCTAATGTGATTGATGCTCTAGCAAAATTTTAAAAGGTTGGACAAATGTAGCCATTAGCAACTTCAACCAACCTTGAAATGTTATTTGCAGAAATTTATATCAAGTTTCCTACATTTATTCGTAAACAGATTTTATTTTTTAAAATTATTTTGGTTGTCATTCAAAATGATTCAGTGATGTTTTCAGTGAGAAAGCTCTGTTGTGCACAGAAGAAGTTTACTGCAATAGTGGCTTCTTTCAGGAAGCACTATTCTGAATCTTTTTTTTTTTTTTAAGTTTCTTTTCCTTGAGCTTTTCTGTGCGTAGATGTGAGCTGGAGAGGAAATTGCAGAAAATCACTAATTAACTTTGTAAAACCTGTCCAGTGAATTTGTGCTTTTCATTCTAACAAACGTTTGAGGAGAGTTGGCATGTTGCAAAGCTGGGAGGCTTAGCTGCAGAGAGACAAATGAGATAATTATAGCCCCTACTAGCTCTTTCTGGTACAATGGTTTTGTTCTGGGTCAGGGGCTACGTGGCCACGTGCCCTTTTTCTGTCTCTTCCTGCCTTCTGTCCCTCATTTCTGGGTCAGGATTGTGTCTGGCCTTGTAGGAAGTGTTTATTTAGGAGTAATAGGGGGTATCTTTCCAACCTCACTTACATAAATTACAGTGGTGTTTTACACAGCACACCAAATACTGTATTTTTGTTGGATTATCTTGGATTTGTCTGTGAGCTGTTTGTCCTTGGAGTCCTTCAAATATACAATCAGTAGCTATATGCTTGTGCTGGCTTTCCAGGTTGCACGCGAGTTTGACAAGAGGATCGAAGCTGGCACTAAATGAAACAGAGCAACTTGGGTCTGGTATGGGGAACCCAAGAAACACAGGTAGTTGTTCGTAGTTGCAACAGATTGTGATTGAACACAGTGGATGTTTCTTTCCAACCACATGTGCTAAGATGGAAATCAATAATGCTTTAGAGACCTGCCTCGTTGGTAAGTTGGAGAAGCCCCTCCCAGCACCCCAGCTTGGCATGGTGCTCTGGTCATGAAGGAGGGACTCAGGAGGTGCTACCAGTCAGACCTGTGCTTTCCAAATGAACCAACCCCTTTGTTCAACATTCATTCGCCATTTCCACCTGAGAAAACAGAAGCCAAAGTGGATTTCTTAATTTGTTCTCTAGTGCTGTCAGTCACGGCAGGACCTGCACACCTGCGTGTAGCTCTCCTCCCAATTATTTCAGCATTGCCAGATGCATGGTGAAAGTTTTCCTTTCTTCTCTTCTCTTTTGCAACATCAGGTGCTGATCACTTCTGGAGTCAAAGTCCTAACTTGATGGACTAGTGATCTGATCTGATCTGACAAAGCCTTGCCCCCATTATTTCTGCCTGATGCTATTTCCCTGATAGAAATAAATCATTTGTCATTTTCTGAAAATCTACACATTCGTCCCCAGAATTTTGAAGCTAGCTGTGGTTCCTTTGCTGCTGTCTCAAAGTGATCCTTTTTGTTCCCCATGGATTGTAATTTTCTGCTACTAAGATAAAGTTGAAGACTAAACCTCTTTCTGTCTTCCTTCCTTTTAATTCCCCAGGACAGATGCAAAAGATTCCCTTGTCCTGCTCTGTTGTTTTGCTATTACCTTGTGCAAGATGAACATCCTAATAGGTACATAGGATTTGCTGTAACAAGTCAGCATATTTGTTTATACAATTCCCAGAGGAACACAAAACCTCTTGAAATGTATATCCTTTTTTGTACTTCAATATGGGATTCAAGAATAGAGTTTGTGTCACTGTAATATAACTAGAGGATGTATGTGAACCAGACAGTAACTCTTAAATAGTCTGTGAAGCCTCCCATGGAAATCTTCACTGTAAATCACCTTAAATTAATCAGGACAACAACATGCACAAGGGTGACATATTTATGGATTTTTAATGACCATTATTTTGGGACATAGCTTTACCATGATGTAGTGTCATATGCCTTGCAGCCTATAAAGTACAAAAGACACAAGAAGCCCACAGCGTGATCCATTTCAGCCCCTCTTCCACCTCTGGTTAACTGTGCAGGAAAGCCTCAGCTTAGCATTTGTGCAGGGAGCACCCAGAGAAGCCTCTGGGTAGATGGGACATTTCCTTCTGTCTGCTGCAGCACAGGACTCTGCCCTTGGACACATGGAGCGTGTTGTGTCGTCTATTCACAGAGGTAACAATTCCTGTGATCACTGCACACCAGGGATGCTTTTTGCCTTGCTTTTGATCAGTCTTATACAAAACTCCTTATGGTATATCCCCTTTGCCTTCAGCATTGTATTCTCATTTTTCACTAAACATTAAAGTCTTTCATGCTGATTCCAATACCTATGGGAAATCAAATGTGTAACTGTTCTCTTGCATTGCTTACAGGAAAAAAAATCAGACTTCTATCTATTGCCAGTACAACTATATTGAATATTTATTGCAACTTTGAGAGCTGATCCTTTTTTCCTAGACCCCCAAATTAATTTCTTCCTCTTCTAATTGATTTTATTCTTTCCAGACCTCCTTCCTACCCATCTACAGATGCCCTCTTGTCTTTGCTCCATGCCTTTCATAAATGATATGGAACATCAGCTGGAATCAGGTGGTAGCAGTAGGCTTCTGTAAAACCAAAAAGCCACAAGGATTTTGGAATTGGAAGAGCATGGTTGGGGCAGGATCAATGCCCACCTGCCTTGCTCTTATATCAGACTGAAATACCCATATTAGCCACTTACAAGAGACAAGGCATGGGCTCAGAGGAGCCATCCTCATGCTCTGATTCCTTATCTTGTTCTTAAAGCAGCTTCCCTCTGCTTGAATTCCAGAAGATATCAGCCCTCCCTTTCTGTTTGCTTCTTGAATTGTTCTTCTGCAAAACTTTTTGATAAATATCTTCAGGCTGGACTCCTTTTAGCTATCTTTTCTCTATTGAACTAAAGATGTACTAAAATAGAAATTCCACCTGCTGTTGCCCAAGATGTGGATTTTACTTTGGTAACAGTGCATGACAAGTAAAATAAAAATAAAGCATAAACACATACAGGCACGCCCACAGATGTAACACCTTGGTTCTGCTCAAGTTGCTGTGCTTTGTTTTGGACAGAGTGTACAAATTAATGGACAGGTTAATATCATGTTTCTGTTTGCTTAACAGCAGGGTTGCTTGTTGTGGCGTTTTCTGTGGCTTGAGCATGCTTTCTTTCCAATGTGGACCTTGTTTAACTGCTTATGTACCTGTCTACGATATTCAGTGTTGTGGATATGCATATCATTTACAGAAGAAAATGACTGCTTTGGAAAAAATAAGCACAAAACAAAAAATAAAGCAAGATCCTAGTGGCATGGGCAGTGTTGCTACTAAATTGTCAAAGTATTTTTTATTCTTTTTAGCAGCCAGTTGGAAGCAGGGCTCCTTTTCACAAAGGCAAAGGGGAACACTTTGTCCTGCTAGACACTCTTCTCAATACCCCTAAATAAACCTTTCTTAATGACAATGGAGGAATACTGTACTTAGGTGCATAAGAACTCCTGCTTTCACTCTCTCTCTACATCTTCAAGTGTTTTCTAGCCCGTATTGGATGGCAGAGACTGGGAAGCAAATAGAGGTCAAAACAGCATGGTTCTCTCAGCTGGATGAGCTGCAGTTTTGATCAAAACTTTCTCCTCTCTCTTATTAATTTAAATAATTACAGCTGAGTGTTGAGCAGAGATTTGGCTTATTTTCACAGTTTGGGAACAGGGAGTGAAGCACACCGGTGTGTGAGTGATGCATGTGTGGGTTCATGTATGTGTTGTGTGCACAAAGGTATGCTCATGTTTGGTTGGACTTGGCATCAAGCATTTGCTAAATAAGACCTGACAAGTTGATGGCTTTACTTTCTCTTCCTCAAATTGCTCTGTTATGTCAAGTTGCAAGATGTCATATGAATGATAAACATGAAAAAGTACCCTCCATACAAGCCTAGAGGAATAAATTAATGAGCTATAAACAGCAAACTAATCATGAACGCTGTTTTGGGCATCTGAAGCCTGGATCTTCACATCCAAAGCCACCAGCCTGAAGCTCTTGAGCTAACGGCAAATCTCTAACGCGTTGCAGCAGCAGGTTTCCTCTCCTTGCTTATCAGCCACATCACACTCAAGGGAAATATCAAGTTAGAAGCCAGGAACAATCATAAAGTTTCAAAAGCAATATAAACCCCGCTGCCTGGTTGTGTAAACTGCAACGTGAGGATAGCTGTCCTACTAAAATATGGGTTGGGAGACCAGCAGCTAGTGCAGATCTCTTAGGGCTCTTCTCTGCTACAGCTCCCTGTTGTGAAACGGGGTGAGCATTTCTGTTTCCGTGAGCAGAAGGGTGTTACAGGCCAACATTATACCTCTTAATGTTGTCAAGAAAGGTGAGACATCCCCAGGGAACAGCACACATCCCGGTGCATGTGCTTCCACTTACCTCTAAAGTGACCTGGACTTGATCCTACTGCTGTGATCACATTAAACTAGCTGGACCACTGGCAAGATGCATGAGGACACCTTTCTGTGCTTTAGCACGTCATTTAATCACTCTTCCCATGCAGCCTCCCACATGGTAGTGCTCTGTACCTACCTCAGAGGCTATCAGCTGGAGTAATTAGTTCATGTTCACTCAGGAGTCTGAATAGGGAACAGGCTGTAATTCTGATTGCTTCTGATCCATTAAACTGAATTTTAAAATTAAGCTTTCTTTTCTCTCCTCTCCCTGAAGTTGTCAGTGCAAATAGCAAAGCATTTCATGTCAGCTCTTTGTATGGCTGTGCGAAGGAGCATTTCTAAAAGGCCGCTGGCTGGGGCTTGGATGTTCTCTGGCAAATACCCACGTTTTACCTCAAGGCATCCACAAGAGCGGCAGGGCAGCCAGATCCAAAGAGACAGCGCTGGCTTTGGACCAGGCAGGCAGTGCCACTGAACTTTTTTTAAACTTACCGATGTCTGAAAATGCGACGGTAACCTCGCAGAAGAGAGCAGATGACACTCTGCCCCAGATGCCTCAGTCAAGGCTTTGGATGAGAAACCTTTTATTGAGAGAGTGCCCTGTGCCTTATCTGAGAGCTGCGGTCCATCCTGGTGGGAACTTCTGGGTCTTTCTCAGCTCAGGATGCTGCTTTAATTGTCAGGAGCAAAAGCAAATCTCAGGCTGGCAATCAGCTGGCCATTACCTTCTTCTCCTCCTGCCTGTTTGTGGTGGTGGTATCAGGGCACTCGCTGAAGACAAGCTCCATTTCTCTTTAACACCTTCCAGGTAGGCTCCAGTATAGCTGCTGGCTTTATTCAGGCAGGACAATGCAACCCCTTGGAATGCTAAAGCATTCGGCACGGGCTTGCGTGATGGGAAGGATTGTTTCTGAGGCCACAAGAGCAAAACCTCAGATGTTTAAAGACTCTCTTTGCAGGGTGTTTTCTGTCATCTGCAAAGAACTTGCTCTTTGATTTCCTTTTTCCCACCTTGCTCGGGCATTGTTGTCAGGAGACTCTGCAAATGTCAAAACCATTATCAGTCACAGGCAAGCAGGCTTTTAATTGAACTTTTATTCTCCTGTCTAACTTGCTGAACTCTAAAGAAAAGGCTACGACGCTGGCATGGAAATGGCCTTTTGGAAGTCACTGACTGTTAAAAGTAAGTTATCTAAAAAAGAGTTATGTAAGTAATGTATTTTTCCCCATTCAGACCTTTCTCCATTTATATATATATATATATATGTACAAGTAAGTGCATAGATTTTTATATATTCATAGTATCTGTTTGTGTTTACTTACATATATAAAAATAAAACATAGGTCCAAGTGTTAGAATATATCTTCCCCCTCACAACTTCACTCAGGCATATAGCATCTCCCAGCTCATGAAGCATACTGTTACCTTGTGACAGGAGCCCACAGAAAATAAATAAAAAATAGAAAAAAAAAAGTGTGAAATAACAGTCTTGTTTGATGCCTTGTGCTGTCTCCATCCTTCTTTTTTATCCTTTGTTCACATTGCTTCCCTTCTCCATCTATTTTGATCGAAACATGACAGGCAGACCTGATATTCAGCTGCCTTAGTCCATAAATGTCTCTTTGGATGATGCTGTGCTCCAAACAAAATTCAGGGCAATTGGAACAAATATCCTGAGTCCATTATTAGTCTTTCTGCTTTATTAGGGCATTTTTTCCCCTTTGTGTCTCCCAAAGTGATTATCTCCGGTCTCGTCAGGTCTGCTTTGGCTTCAGGAGTCTACTGGATTCAGCTGGATGGCAAATGCTGTTTTTGCCATTAATCACCCAAACGACTGTGAGCCATTAGATCTTCTTCTGATTTATTTCTGGCATGCCGTCTGACTGTCCAGGCTCTGTGCTTTCATATTCTTTCTTTCATTCCACAGGAATCGCAAATGCCTTACAAAGAAATAACCTAATCCTGACCATTTAGGAGCTGAACTCTGTACCCAGGTTTTCTTTGCATCTCTCTCAATAGCCTCTCTTCCCCTTCCACACAATGTAACCTATGCTGAACTCATTTTTAATAGCACGTAACATGTTCACAGCTAAACAGAAAAACCTGTGAAATACATCTCATTTTATATCCTATTCAGACTTGAGGTCACGTCTGTAAAAAGGCTGTTTTGGGACACTCAAGTTCAAGCAGTCTCTGATTTGTATTGTATTCATATTGAGTGGAGATATTTGCCATTTCCTGTGGTTTCCAGAAATAGGACAAAGTGAGGTTGTCAACTGAACGTGGCTTTCGGATGCTGAGAGGCTGAGTCTTGCAGAGCCTCCTTGCACAAGGTCATAAAAGGCAGAAGTGACCTTCCTGCTTTTGATCCTGTGCAGGTGTGCCAGACCTGAGCTGTTGCTTTTATGAAGAGCAGGTCTATTAATCTAATCAAAAGCAACTGCTTGGTCCCAGCTTGTTCTCGCACAGCTTCTCTGAAAACAGGGGCATCACTATTAGTTTAATCCCTCAGGTTCCTTTGCCCATGACCATGGTATTACCTGCTCACATCCTATGGTTTTTACAGTATCAAGAAGCATAGCAAATGGCTGATGGGCTGCCATTAACAGGATTTAGGAGGAGAAGGGACACTTCCAAGACAAAGATGCTTTTTGGTACCCATGGGAGCTGTTTTCCACCTGTGCAGCAAGGTGGTAAGCTGGGAATTTGCACTTTCCACCACCAGATGTTGAAAACTCAGTGGAAGTTGGAGAGCCCATGTTGAGTGGGTCTGGTGGCAGCTGTTTGGGAGTGGCAGAGGGGAGAGCAGACCAGGTGAGAAAGCACAAAGATCGCAGCACAAACACCATAGACGTGGGATAGGTCCCATATTGTCTATCCTTAGAGGTTTCTCTTTCAGGAGCAAACCCCAGCCTCTGTAGGAACTCACCAGGAAACCACACTGATACTATTCCTGCTGTTCCTTGTGTTTTAGCAAGACCCCATAGTTTTCAAGGGAACAGCTCTAGACTTAACCTTCTCTGGACGAAGCCAGCAGCTTTTCTTCAGCTTTCCCTCTCCACTCTGATGAAACAGCCTATATCTTGGAGCACAGAGTCACTAACAAGCAGCCAAGGGCAGGAAAATGGCTGGCAGTCAGCTCCCAAGCTGCAGCATCATTGCTGGTAACAAGAAGTAGTTCTCTCCCATTGCTCCTGGCGTGCTATGAAAAGCGAGAGTTAAGAAAGGTCATGCACGTGGATTTTCTTCATCTGTGCTCCCCACAAACAATAATTAAAGCTTGACGTGTACTTTAATTAGGCTCCTCGCCTTTTCCTAGGTTGCAGTTCATGAAGGGTTTTTCAGTTTGCTGTGGGTAACCATAGCTACCATTCATGGGGAAGAGGCAGGGAGGAATATTAAATATGCCTCAGTTCTGTGTAAGAGCTCTGGAGCTCCTATAACTTACATGGACTTTTTTTTTTTTTTTTTTGATATCTTCACTAAAAATCTTTCTATCACTTGATGGCAGTAGAGTTATAATATAAATTTATAAGTACTCATGCTGCATAGATGCATTGAAGGAAAAAAACACAAAACACCTTCATATTTATGTTTGTCCATATATTTTTCTATGGTCTCTGTTTTGTATTATGTTTTAAAAAGACATAAGGCATAGGAAAGCCTTGTATTTCCAGAAAGGATTAATGCAGAGGATATTTCATTCATTTGCAACCACCATAAATAACAGTTGGTACAACCAAATACCCCCTAAATTTCTTCAGCTGTACTTCCAGACTCTGCAAAAGTAAAATCAACTTTCTTATTGCATTTTAACTTCCGTGCATATAATTTCCTTTCTGCTGTGAGTACTGTGGCAGAGGCAGCAGCTCCTGTAGTTATGAGCCTGTGAGTTTCACGCTACTGGAAATGCTTCTGCTTGCTCTTTTACGGTCAAAATACATATTAAAAGCAACAATTCTGATATTGAGTTACTCTCAGCTCTCATTTCCTGAAATTCAGATAAGTCCCCAACAAACAGTGAGACTTTGCTATATAACCAACAAATGACGAAGTCTTCTTTCAGTAGTTCTCTCACAGTCCAGGTGAAAATAATCTTGGATAAAATCAAGACCACCCCCAGATATCCATTCTTCCTTGCCCTGGAAGGTGTATCAGGGCATACCTTGTTTCACTGTATAACCAAAATCTGGCTCTATCCCTTACAGGTAAGCCTCCAAACCAGCTTGTGTATAATACTGCACTGGAGATGCAGCAGTGTGAACTTATTGCCAAATAGCTAAGCACTAAAACATGAGCTAATTGCCCAGCCTGTCTTTTTTACCCAAGTGACTGGCATGTGTTACTGACTTCGTTACCTGTGGCAGTGAATCCAGTGCCTACCTTGCCAGAACCAAGCCTTTATTTTGCTGTGTAGATGCTGACATCCAGTCCTCCGTGAGCTGGGAAACATTCCCTCTTCTGGAGTTATGAGCGTACGATTTTATGGGCTGTCCAAATCTCCTTGCACAAAAATTGCACTGCCTTCCAGAGGAAAAATACCTCCCTATCCCACTGCTGATCGCTCCTGGATGCTCGTATATATTTACAGTACTATGAGGTTTCAGTCAGATCAAGCTGTTTTTTTCCCTCTTTTTTATTTTTATTTTTATTTTTTTAAACTTCTAGTCTTCTAGTCTGAAAATGCTTTGGAAAAGTATCTGCCAGTTGCACAGCTGCAACATTGCTCTGCACAGGGCACTGGTGGCCAGAAGCATCAGAGTCTTGCAGAGAGCAGTAGAATGTCATGATAACACCTGTCTGCAGTTTTGGGACCCATGCAGACCAAGGCCCCCTTTGAGAGTTTTCCCCAGGCACAAGGATTTCAGCACTTCTTCCTGCTGCTCAGCAATGCTTTTGCTTTGCTTACCTTTGCAGATGTTGTTTTGGCATGGCTGTACCCAAGCACCTTGCTGCAGGAGCAGGAACACGGAGCCAGGTCTGCTCCTGCAGGCAGGGCACCCCTGCAAGCCCTCCCTTTCCCCACAAAGGTGCTCCAAATAACATTGCTTATGCTTTCCTTCCCTCACGAGTCTCTCTGGTTTGATTAATATTTAATCCTTCCACCTGCTGGGACAACTCGACCTGGGGAAACCAAGAAAACCTTGTTCCAAGCTGTTAGCAGCCTGCTGAGCAGCTGCCTGGGGAGGTGGAAGACATGGATTCATTTCTAAATCAGGCAGGATGGACTTGAAAGTATCTCCCACCACAGCCACATCTTAGATATAAATGGATTTAGGACTTTGGCTTCTTTCCTCCACCTCCACAAGTCAGAGAGAACACAGGTGAGACCTAGTTGGTAAACAGTCAGCACCATCCATTCCCTCTTCTAAACCCTGTTCAGGGATGAAAAACCCTTTAGCAGGGTCCTTTACCCCGAGGATTTGGCTTCGCCCTTCCCAAAAGGAGCTCACCCAGTGTGCAGAGCCCATGGCACCCCCTTTGCACGGTGTCTCTGGGCCATGTCCTCGCCCTGAGCTGCTCGTTCTGCTTCTGGGCTGCAAGCATTTCCCCCCTAGCAGGACCTGCCCTTTCTATTCCCCATTACTTTGTTCAATCCTCTGTTAAGTGAGGCAAGCAAGGAAAATAAACCACCCTCTTGATGTCAGATAAACTGCCTTTATTTCACTCCAAGGTATTTTGACATTAATAACGTTGAGAACATTCAAATAACAGTGCCAAGGGAATGGAGCAATATTTAACTTTCATTTTACCTTGATCTCATTACTTGTTAGAAAGCCTATTACAGAACAACTGCTTTCTTGTTTACAAAAGAAAGAGAGGAAAAGTAACTATAATTTTTAAACCTGCAGTGGCTAAAGACAACACGGAGATTATTTACCCCAAATCAACAATCTCAACTTCAGCTACAGTAACTTTATAGGAGCTGCTGCAGCATTTCAGTTATCTGCATTTTATGGCTGGTGAGGACTTTTACTATAAATTTAGATGCTTGCAGATCCTTTATCTGTCATAAGAAAGTAGTTGGTAAATGACTGAAGCGCTCTCATTCCCGGGGATGTTATGATCCAACATCTGCTGAAGTCCATGGAAAAACTCCCTGTTGACTTGTGCTGGTTTTGGAACAGGCACTTTTGAAAAAAATATAGAAAAGGGAGAATATTTTTTGCCTCTCTCATTTAGCAGTAAGAGGGCGGATAGTCTGAAAGCCCATTGGTGTGCCAGTGTAATTGTGTTGGACTTGGTCTTCATTGAAATGGAGTTAGGTCAAGGAATATTAGGGCTGCATATCTGGATAATGAATTATGTCTGTTCTTATGTTCCATATCTATGCGTCCTGTGGGAACCAATCACCCCAAAACATTGCTAATGCTATCTAAAAATGGCTCTGCTGGCTCTCATCCCTCCAGATGGGCTTTCTGCACTAAGCTCAGATGCTACCCCAATATATTTTAAAAGATTACTGAGTTTGTCCAATTTTGAGCTATCACCCTTGTTTCTTGCAGAGAAAAACATCAGTCTTCTTTGCTTTGACACCTCCTGAAAGCAATTCTGCCTCCTTTCACCTGCCTTCCCAGAGAGGTCAAGTAGTCCAGGCTGATGTCTGTCACCCTTCATCAAATCAACCCTTCACTCACTTCACACTGAAATTTGGGACTAAGCTTCACAAATCCCCCATTAAAAAGCCACTGTCACCACCCCTTGTCCCAGCCCCTTCTCTTTGTCATATCCCCTTCCTCTTTAGCTCATTTGCAGCAGTACCATCCATCAGGATGGAGCTAACTTGCTGCTCTCAGAGTATCTAGCCCTGCCTAGGTCTGGTCTGAATTTCTTCAAACTGTCCTAGGATAACCCTGAGTTATTAAGAAATACTTCATGTTGCCTCAGCCTTGAACACATGGCCTTATAAAGATCTTTTCAGGTCAGGCAGCTCTAAATCAATACTAAATTGCAAATCCTGAGATTAATTGTGCCTATTTCAGAGTCCAAGCTTCTTTCATGATTCTCTGTATCTTTTCCCCTAAAAATTACTATAGAAGTGTCCATTTTCTGGGAAACAGGTTAAGTAGTTTGCTTATATTCTCTCCCTCCTCTTTTTTATTTTTTATTTTATTTTTAATTTTATTTTAAACTTGTTATCAAGTATATTTTCTATAAAATAAACCAGTTTTGACTAAAGAGAGTAAAAAGACCTTACAAGCATCTCAAGAGGCCTGAAACTGATAAACCAAAGTGTTTCCCTCAGGATAAGGCACAGGGTTTATGATGCCTTTCGACAGTGACAGGATTTGGGGGTCAACAGAAGGAAAGTACAAGGAAAAAGCTAAGGGTAGCTCCCTCGCTTAATGTATTTTGTATGTGCTTTTGGTCCCTGTGCACCTGTACAGAGTGAGGGCTCACAGGTGAGATGTGTGCCTATGGTGCTCAGGATGCTGAAGCCTGGGTGGTCACCAAGGTTTCCCAGATAGTTGGGCAGCCTCTGGCTGAGCCTCCCACGTTTGCTCCGGAGGTAGAGTGTTACCCGCATGACACTGCACACTGTAAGCTTCTGCAGTTAGAAAGCTGATAGTCTGAATTTGGGCACATCTGATTTCTGTCTGCCTTTCCTCCCTCTGCTGTCCTTACCCCTTACTCAAATCACCAAAGTCTTTCTCAAGGTTAATCCTCTACAAGACTGCTACAGAAATTGCTGGTTAAATCCCAATGTTAGCACCTATGCTACATCCAATTTGGGGAATGGCGAGAAGGGAGTTGCATTCCCTAATTTTCTGGACTCCAAATATTTCTCTGATCTCTTAGGAGCTTTCTTCGCTGATAGCAAAGTTCCCAGCCTCAGCTTGTTCACATAAGACCCTTAAAATGTTTTTGTATTTTTCTGCTGGTTTCATAAAGCAGGCATGAATTTACTTTAGAAGAAAAAGCTGAGAGTCTTTATAGCAATATCATTGCTATTCCAGTGGTGTCTCTTCTATGTCTCCATGGACTTAGAAGGCTGAAGGTCTTCTGGCAGGCTGAGCTTTGCCTCAGGTTCAGAGTGAGCCAGCTCCTTACATAAAGTCCAGTAGGAAGGGGAAGAATCAGGAGAAAAAAGTCTATATATATTAATAATTGGCCTATTTCAGTCTGGTTTTCTGCCACACTAATAAATCCTACCCTTTCACACCAGCTTTTCCCTAAATCTGAGCAGGAACACATTGTATTCTTAGTCTTCCATCACTCCGAACAGCAGCAGTTGCAATTACAAGGTTATTTTAAGTTCAGGAGGAAGCTTACTGGTTCTACCTTGTCTGAACCCCACAATTCCAAAGAAAATGAATGGGGTCACTGGGTTTAGGCTTCTAGGTTGCATGCAGTCTGAAGCAGTGGCTTAGCACAGCTGTGATATATATGTGCTTCTGTGCCCTGGAAATCTCCTTCCTCACATGTGGGATCTATTACAGATGTTGAAAAGTTAATTGTTCAAGCTGAAACAGTCTGCGTGGGCTTTCTCTGCAGTCAGTAAGGAGAAAGTGTTTCCAGAGGGGCGAGTTTATCTCACCTGCTCTGGGGTATGGTCTCAATACATCAGTTTTAGCTGTAAAAGAAAATCAGTAAGCCTATTCCCTCCCCTCTCTTGGCTGTATGATGCTGCGCTTGTGCTAAAGCTCCTTTTCCTGGGGAACCTGGACAGGGAATTGAGCTGGTAGAGAACTACCCCTCTTGGGTCTTTTGTTGTTGTTTGTTTGTTTGTCTTAGTTAGATATAAACCAGCTCAGTTTCTTGCTCGGTGAACAGCTGAATAAAACAGCAAAGACAAAAAGAAAGAGAAAGGAATACCTGGGTAAGACAGGGGGCTGTTGAAGCAACCCTTTCTATGGCACCATGGGAAGATTAAAAGAGCTGTGGAATTGCACCCCTAAACAGAATGCATCTTTCCTTGGGGTGTGTCTCTTGTACCCCAATTTTTACAGGATTTATGAAGCCTGAAAAGACAGGTAATATTCACATTTTTGCTCCAAAGGAATAGCAATAACTGGTGTGGATATAAATGCTGGAGCTGTATCGATTTGGCACATATTTGTCCTGCTATTTATCTGTCATGGTTAGGACGCAGCTCTCCTTCTTGCTTCTGGAGACAGCAGGCACGAGGCACTGCCAGTGCCATGCTCACATCGTATCTGGTGGACAGACAGAGGCAATGCCTCAAAAAGAAAACAAGCTGTTTTCTTTAAAATGTAGATCTTCCGCTGTTGCACATTGATTTATTTCCACTGAAGCCAGCATTAGTGAAGACATGCAGTGTTTCTTGGTGGAATAAGTAGCAGCTCCATTAAAACTGATAACACTTTCCATTAAGTTAACAGGCTTTGGACTGGGCACGCATTATTTGTGAGGACTGTACAATTTGTGCATTTCCCTGCACTGTACAGACAGGAGGACAGGAATGGAAAAAAAAAGCAAAAACAAAAAACCAGACAAGATTTAGAGCCCTCAGTCTCCTGGCAGCTCTGGGAGAACAGGGTGCAGATGACACAGGAATGCAGATATGATGAGGGATTTCTGTGGCAGCTGAAGTTGGAAAAAGTTCACCAGAAAGCAATCCTGGTAAAAGAAATCCTGGTAAAGAAATTGCTGCAGGGAGCTGCAACAAATAAGGATTATAATAAAGAACCAATGACAAGAGAGCAGAAATGACATTTTTTTTTTTTTTTTTCTGGAAGCATTTCCTGATTTATCTCCAACCAGAGTCTCCCAGAGTGAGCATATTAGAGCTTAGACTATATAGCAGAGAAATAATGAAACTACCTTAAAATATAGGCACCCTTGCTCACTGAATAATACAGGTTGCTAAAAGATACTTAATTAACAAGCTAATAACCTTGAAACACAAGATGACCAGATAAACAAGATTGTTTTTGATATGCTGCAATAGATATGTTGTATCTTAGTAATATTCATGTGCTAGTTCTATTACACGAGAGTACTGAGTATAAACAATAGCAGGACCATACTATTTTCTCTCTCCTATATCTGCTGACCACATGAA